AAGATGCAGAGGCTTATTTTCAGTATAGTCTTTCTACAGAATCTGTTGTTAAATATTCACAAAAGGAAATACTGCACTTGTCAAATTAATTTTACGAGAAACGATGTAGAAATGCTGGATTCCTGGAGATGTTTTACACTTTTAAACGTACAGGAGTGCTGCACGATCTGACAAACGTTAGGCACACAATAACATCACATTTTTGTCGATGCTCATTCTCCGTTTGACTGATAGCGAGTCGGAGCACTGTTTTGGCTCGTCTTGTCTCGCGTTGCATTTATTTCTTTGACAATAACGTGCAATCAGAGTCAAATTCGAAGACTTTGCTTCCACAACAGCGAGCAGCCACTTCCCGGCCTTAAAGAATGGGCTTTCTCTCGAGCACTTGTGGAGTAAAAGGACGATGGCTGTTGAACAACTTTATAGTAATTTCTTCAATGAATGGGTAGCAGCCAGTGAATAAAAGCAAGAAACCTCATTATCGAGCCATAGCCGGCTGTACGCCGCGCTCTCAATGCGGCGCTCACCCCGGCACAATGAATATTCAGACTCCGAGATGAGCAGCTGGAGGAAACAGTTATTTTACTTCTGAGTTCATTATAAATACCTTCCCCCTGATTTTAGGGCAATAAAAGCGACAGAGAGCAACACTTTAGGATCGCGTTGATTCAGTGGCGCCATCGAAACCGTTTCTTCTGATTGTTTTCGCATCAAAATGCTATTTAAGCGGCAAAAGTGCCGTTTCTGTCTAACCCCTCCACAATCAGAGCAGGGGATAAGCAATCAGTTTGGGGGAGCGTAAAGCAGACACTGGCTGCTTAATTGGCTGTCAAGAAGTGGAACTGAAATAGCACTCCATTCACATGATGAGACGGGGAAGAAGAAGAAGAAGAAGAAGAGTATGGATGGTGGAGCTTGAAGGGGTGTCGTGGGGGTAAGCTTTTGTGCGGCTCCGTTTGTTGGTTGTGTGACTCATGCTTATTGTATAATAGCTCGAGCAACTTGCACAACAACATCATATGTCTGACTTATTACCGTCAATAACTTGAGCGCTCGCAGGAACCTGAAGTCGGTCCGGCTCCCCACAAAAGGATCAAAGAAGCCGCTCGTCATTATCGGCCGTGAATCAGAAGCGCTAAATGACATTTGCCCTACTTGGTATTTTTCATCTTGTGTCAACAACCTAAAATCCCGTCTGTCGAACTGGAAATGAAAAAGGAAAAAAAAAAAAAAGATGTATTTCGAATCTACACTGCTGCTGCTGCTGCTTCACCCAGGAGAACCGTATACTGCCATGTAGTTAAAACGCACCGCCAGGCAATTAAACTAAAGCAAAGAACGTGACGGAAACCCTGATGGAGAGACAGACAGAAACTCGCCGAGCAATATACTCCTCTCTTGACATTCCTTTTGACAATTACCCTATGTAATACAATTGCTTGCCATCTGGTGGTAGGAAGCAATTTGACAGTTTTATCACGACGTTGACAAAAGTAATTTACTCGCCTCGGTCCTTTTGTGCTTCTGCGGGAAATAAATCATCCAAATAAAAATAAATAAATGGCACCCCACCGGGATTTGACAGTTCAGTGTCTTCCAACCCCTGCAAAAATGCTGCAGTCTTCACCTAGCGTCGTAAAAATGAGAAAGAAAAAAAAAGAGTGCGAGTTACCAGGGCTGTGAGCCGTGATCCATCATCTGTCTGGGGGACACTTTGGCGGTCCATTGCTGTTCATAGGACAGCTGGGACTATAACCATGCAGCTGTTTAAAGCTCAGCATCACAGAAAGGGTGATTGGTTTGAAAGAAAGTGGATACAGAACGGATTTGGTTTGTTTTTCACATTTCCGGGCCTTTGAAGACATTTAAGTGTTGTGCCACAATAAGTATACGTAGGTTAGAGGTTAGAAGCACCGACTGTATAGAAAAGATGGACGTCGCCATGATGTTGACAGTCATTGCTTCTGATGATTTAAAGTTAGCAATTTAGCATACTATCATGTTCTTTTAAAACCAGATGTTCTTCAATAAAATCATCCCCGTCGTTATGGTCTACTTTCCTCTGAATGGGACCACGATTTACCAAACAACACCATTCTGTACTCAACAGGTCTTTAAAGCTAGCTACTGAGGCTAAAAATTCATTTGGAAAACGTTTACTGAGATAACAAACCAAGTGAGAAGTCTGGTCATTTTCTCATAGATTTCTATACAATACAACAACTAAACGAGTCGCCCCCTAGTGGCCATTCAAAAAAAAAAAACACAGGCTTAAGGCACTTTTGCAATGGTTGTTGCCATCTTAGTAATTGTAACTGAGAATTCAAGGACTCACTGATACATTTGCACCTCGCCAATAACCTGCTCTAAAACATAACCTTTTCTATCATATATTTTCCCTTAAATGGGACCATAATTTACAAAAATCAACACCATTCTGTATTTAATAAGTCTTGAAACTAGCCATTGAAACCACAAACTAGTTTGGAAAATGTTTACTTAGGTAGCAAACCAAGTAAAAAGTTGGGTATTTCTCTCATAGACTTCTATACAATTCAACAACCTAACGAGTCGCCCCCTAGTGGCCAATCAAAGAAAAACAAAAACAGGCTTGAGGCACTTTTGCAGTGGTTGTTGCCATCTTGGTCATTTTAACTGAAAATTCGAGGACTTACTGATAGAGTCGTACCTCGTCAATAACTTGCCCTAAAACACGCTCTTCCTTATAATATATTTTCCCTTAAATGGGACCATCTACAAAATTAACACCATTTTGTATTGAATGTGTCTTGAAACTAGCAATCGAAACCATAAACTCATTCAGAAAATGTTTACTTAGGTAGCAAACCAAGTGAGAAGTCTGGTATTTTCCCAACAGACTTGTATAGAATCAAACAACATAACGAGTCGCCCCCTAGTGGCCATTCATTAAAAAAAATACAGGTTTACAAAAATGCAGTTTCGTAGCGGCTTCACAAGTCAAAAAGCATCACATATACGACTTCTTAAAGCAGTATTTTGACAGTATCAGCCCAGTAAGACTGTATTTACAAAAGATCAGGGCAATCCAATCACGTTTTAACGTAGAAAATTTAAAAGGTGCAGATGTTTACGACAGCGTTTTTCTACTTTTGTGCTCTGATGTATTTCTAAAACTGCCTCTCGTGGGACACTTGTTAAATTTAAATCACTATTTTCACAGATGAATGCATCCAGAAATGTGTGTGAAACATAATAAAGACAAAACTATTAGCAATGAATAAATTAAAGACCTATTCTATCAGCTTGGTTAAATATATGTATTTTTAAACTCTTTCATCAAATTTAGTAAATGATTACTCCAGCCCTGTGAGATTAGGAATTTTCAAGCCTATATGTATTTTATTTGACATAATAGAGCTTTTTATGAGTTATTGCGCTCAAATGAGCTTCGGAGTGTTTTTGTTCTCGACGCAGAAAGAGGGGGGAATATATTCCAACGCTCATAATTATCTCGGGGTGATTCTCCCAGGACGGCTAACCCGTGCTGTGGCGTCGCAGATTAGGGATGCGAGCGGCGTGCTCGACGTCGTCCCTCATGTTTACTGATTGAAGACCAGCTATAGATTACATGAACATTTAAAAGCCACACGATATTACAGATTTACTAAACCTGCTCTATTAGTTGTAAAATATATTCACTGGAGGCCATTAACCACAATATTTCTGCGGGAAAGCGCGGATGCCCCGAGGACCGAGCTTGTTGATCGCGTTGCAGTTGCCGCCGCAGCGGGAGCCGGCTTTGATGTAATATTGTGATATTTCATTTGATTATGCTGATTTGATTGTACGAGGTCATCCATCCTGCCTGATGTCTCTCGATATCCTTCAAAAGCATTTTGCTTTATTGGCTTGCTGGTCTACCCGGCAGAATTTCAATGGTTGTTTGATGGTATTAATGCACCATTTGAATGCAGACCCTGAAGTTGAAGGAGGAGGTGGTGGGGGGAAAGAAAAAAAAAAAAAGAAAAAGAAAGCCCGTGTGGAGGGAGCATGCATGGAATCTGAAAGTCAGATGTCAGAGGAGTCAGTGGAGGGGAGGAATTTTCTCCAAATGCAGATGCTACGCTGGAGTGGAATATCAAATGTTCGAATCTCTTTCAGGGATTTTGGAGTGTGACTAAAAAAGAAAAGAAAGGAAAAGAAAGAAGGAGGGGGCAGCTTCTCTTCTGCAAATAGCACCAAACATACAATAACCCACTTGGCTTTTTTGTTTTTTTTTAGGGCTCGCGAGAGAAAGCCGAGCATCTATTCCGCACAAACGAAGTGAATAGCGAACAGATGTGCGGCACACCTGCGATCAGACGACTTCTTTTCAGCGACGGAGGATTCAAAAGGGAACAGAAGGAGGCATTATTCCAGGACGCAGGATGAGGAGAGATTCAAATACAGTGGAACTGCTAAAATATAAAACACCGAGGTCAGAAGCGAGGAGGGCATAAACACATGCATTCACTCGGTTTATGTTTGGATGCGAGAACTTTAATTACAACGGATTACGGCGGAATTAGACGTTCGATCAAAACAAAAGCTCGTTTAACATTAAACATCTCGGAAAGAGCAAAACAAAAACTGTTTTGTTTGCGACTCGAGGAAAAATGAAATGTGTCCGATGAGTCACCGCTCGAGGAAATCAATTCATTTAGTCATACAGAGGTGCTAAGTTATTTATTGCCTGTCAGCACGAGCTGTTAGTTCAATTTAATTCTCCTGCCGCAGAAAAGAGGGGAGATGCGACGGAGGAAATTTGAAGAGAATCTCTTTGTTTATGCAAACAGGATGTAAAGAAGATGACATTTCTCAACAACCCCTGTCCCTGCTGCGTTCTCTGCGGTCACATCCACGGCTTCACGTCGGACTTATATCACAACAAACCTACGAGACAGAGACGCTGCAAACACCAAAGGAAAGCAAAAAAACCGAAGGAAGCGGCTGTAAATGTGAGAAGAGGAAGTGACAGGCCTGTTTGTTGTATTTATTCAGCAGCAGCAGCAGCTTCAAGCCACAGATTAATACAGATCTGTAGGATTCTCTAAGTCAAAAGTGTGTTTTTTTTACCCTCCAGTACAACAAACAGTTCATACAGTAGACATCTTACATCGACTCCACAACTGCACGACTTAAAACAGTCACATTTCTGCTTTGTACTCACATTTCAAGGTTCCACTCTTGCAGCAGATCAGTCAAGCACGAGGACTAATTAGAGACCACAAGTGAAAACACCTGTTTGGGAGGAAGTGTTGCCTTGCAGGGATTTGACAAATCAGACACCGCCACAATAAAACACCAAGTACTGCTCATAAAACTGACAATAAATCGGCAACATTTGCTCAAAATCAGCCACCAGCAACATTTAAAGGTCCCACATGGTGTCAGTTTTCTATACAAATTAATCAAAATCTTTATTTTCTAGCTTAAAACACTCCAAAGATGGTTAACTTATGTCCTAAACTGTCTGTAGCTTCAAATGCAGCTGCAACAGGAAGAAGACTCGCTCTGCAACGGGACATTCATCAACACAGTAGCCAACATACGTGACTTTCTTGGCCAAAATTTGGTGAATTCATCAGACAACAATGCAGACAAACCGGCTCTGAAGTGACCTTCGGCTAACGTGTACCAGCATTTCAATCACTATCTCATATTTGTTCCATTGTCTGACAACATAAACAGAAAAAATACGAAAATCAAAACAGGTTTATTGGGAATTTAGCTGTATTAAAATGCAGTATGTGTGAGCACAGAGAGCAGGAAACACCAGCTAATACAATACAGTGATCCAACAAGCCCTTGTTTACTGGTTTCAGATTGCTACCAAGCACGAGTGCTAAGAATTTTTGCCATTTCTATGGCGACAATCCCATCAAAACTACCAGTAATCCACTGGGTGTTCAGCTCTTCAGATGCTGGCAGTGCATAAAAACGCTTGTGTTCACTCTTGCAGAACATTTGGTGAGTTTTGCTCACGGTTGAGACATTTTCAAGTTGAGCAGAAGCAGATCTAGAAACTAAATAAACCAGTTGGACTGAGAGGCAGCTGCTCGTTCTGAATCTTTCTTCTGGAAGCAACACGAGGAGGCAAGATTGTACAGATCTTATCTAGAAGGCCATTGGTTCCTCAGTTAGCTTGGGAGGCTAACCAGCTAGTTAGCCTCCTGTGGGGTTGTGAGAATGGAACAAGTGAAGGTTTTCACACCGTAACAGCTTTTATTTTGCGTATCCATGTTTAGAACGACCACAAAACACAATAAAAATGGACTTCCCCAATGGGAACGTGTGGAGATACCAACAGATGTTGACGTTTCTATTTAAAAAAAATCGCATAATTAAGACTTTAAATGCTGCATTTTCTGCATTAATCAAGTATTTTTAAACATTACTTCTTATGTCTCGTCATGTATTGGTAGAGCAGAAACGTCACCTGTTCACAGCAGAAAACTATGAAGATCAGACTATTCCTACTCTCAGGACGGCACCAATCCAAACCAAAGAGGGCTCAAAGACGAACCAGAATCAACATGACTGCTCCTGGAGTTGCTCAAAAACGGTTTCCATTGATTGTTTTTTGTGTTTGTCATGATTCTGGAGCTCTATGTTTGCATTTTTGTCGGTGTAGCATGCTTTATGGCTGCAAATGTGGGTTTCTTTTTCAAGGAACACACAAGGAAATTAAAATAATCCACAATAAAAGCGCAATCACTTTGGGAAACAACTGAAATTCCAAGTACATGAAGCGTTTCAATGGCTGCACACAACCTACTACTGTAGAGTATTTAGCGAACAAAGAAACCACGACGGGGAAGACATCGTGCAAAGGTGAGACTCTCCAGAGGACAAACTGCGCCAAACATAATGTGAGTTTTGGGGGACGATGGCGTTTTTAACTCCCTAATGAGCATCGCTAACCAGCGGCTCGGTCGAAACACTTACGAGACAAAAAAACACGACGGCTATTAAACCGACAGCATTTAGCGCGACCTTGTTTTTGACTCCGATAATGGCGCCGTTCGTCGTAGCCGCACGTTTCGACGCGGTTCGTCGGGTTCATTTGAATTCAGGAGACAAAAAAAAAAAAAAGTTGCACAAAAACAGCATCGTCTCACCTCCGCCGATCCGTCCTCCCGCCCGCTCAGCTCTGCTTAAAAAGCCATTTGTTCGCACGCACCGACTCATAATTGGCGTTCTAATAGCAGCCAAGTGACAGCGATAAATACTCGCCAATCACTGACAACACGAGCACTTTGCCATCTTTGTATCCCCCCTTTTCTTCTTTTCTTTTTTTAACCAAAGTGGACATTTTCCTCTTCACATCATCAGCGATACCTGCACATGAATGCGCCCTCACCTCCTCCACCAAATAACCCTTTTAAATGCAAATACCCAGGAGGCAACCGGCTCCTTATCACGCATTTCATTGTCTCCTTTGGGGTAAGTTGAGCTGCTTTTTTTTTTTCTCTTTCCTGCATCTGCATGTAATTGCAAGCGCTCAGTTTACGCTGGAACAAAGCAGCTCGAGAATAAATTACAGCGACAACAATATGACATGAGAAGGACGCGGCAGAGAGCAGAGTTCAACCTCGACCGGTGGATAAGCTGACTAATCTGTGACCGACTGTCGGTCAGACGTGGATGTGACGAGTCAAACAGGAGCTCAGTGGAGGGAAGCAGCGACGGAATCGGTTCTCAGATCTCAATAAAACACGTCCTCACTTCCTCCAACGTTGACTCGAGGAAGTGACACCATGATGAAGAGAAGCTGACTTCTGATGCAGCCAGAGAGCATCCTGACCATGACGTGGGTTCACTGCTGCACTGATTGGACGCAGAGTAACACTGCCATCTAGTGGGCGCAGAGGGAAACGCATGCAGGACAATCTGGTTTAATTTCACATTAAAACAACTCCAATGTGGAGTAAAATCACACTGAGCCAGCCGTTGAGTCAGCTCACAGTCAACAGTTTTTCATGTGTTTTTTGCCGCTTTCTTCCCGTCGCTCGCCTTCATCAGAGCCTTGATGGCCCTCGCCCTCATCTCCAGCTCCAGCAGCTCCAGTTGCTGAATCGACGGCTGACAGGCGGCGGTGGCGGGAGCGGCCTGAGCGGCCTGAGCAGGTGAAGCGACGTCGGCGGGCTGCACCGGCTGCTCTTCGGCCGCATGTTTGCCAGAAGAGAAGGCCAGGATCTCGCTGACGCTCCTGTCGATGTCGCTCTGGAGGTCCTTCTTCGGCTCCGGGTTGGCGTCGGAGCTTCGCCCTCCAGAGTCTCCCACTTTCACATCGGCGGCTTTGACAGGATGCTCCTCTTTGGGTCCTTCTATGTCGCTGTCGTAAGTGTCTGCGTTGATGCTCAGGACGTCGCTCTCCTCCCCTGAGCCTCCACCTTCTGTTAGGGAGAACCAGAGTCATTTTAAATGTAAAACGCTCCTTTAAAGCTTTTATTTCTGTCTTTAAAGTCTGCAAAACGCCCGAGGACGTTCAATCAAAGGCTGAGGGATGTTCTTTGTGAGAATTACACGTTAATTACCGTGCTTGGGGTCCTCTGTTTTTGCCGTTTCCTTGAGGCATGATGTAGAGTCTACATTACTGTCTTGCCTGGGAGAAAGAGAAAAAATAAAAAAAAAAAGAAATAAACTCATATGAGAGAAGCTCAACATCGCTGTGCTCGGAATAAGTTATTCAGCTGTTAACTCACTGGCTCTCCGACGTCTCCTCAGAGTTTTCGTTGCCGTTTCCAGCTGTCAGCTCTTCCCCTGGACACAAACAACAGCTCAGAGTTGAATTTGTTATAAACTTTTTTTAAGGACCCACAGTCCAGGAAATGTGTCAAACTGGCCCCAAGTCTCACCTGCTAAGATCTGAATCAGGTTTTTCTCCGAGATCGGCTCCAGCTGCTCCCAACAGAGAGTTTTGATTTCCTCTAAACTACAGTCCTGCGAACGAGAATGTGCGGCGAGTTGCTTTAATATCAGCCAAAGCAAACAGCAGATGTAGTTCTCCGTTTACAGGAGAGTCAGGCAGCGGTTTCTATTACACATTTCCATAAAACTTCACCAAACTCAGCCAGAAATTAAAACGTCAGCATCAAGAAAACACACAAAACAACAACGGCACCGATGTCCTGTTGAGCTTAAAGAAAATGTTTGTTCAAATTCAAAATAAAAAGACGCACATTCAGAATATATTTGAAAAATGGTTTTCAAGAGTCAGTATTGTTCTGATGCTGGTGTTGTAGAGGAAAAGCAACAGTCAGGACAGCTTCCAACATATTATTTCTGAAGAAAGTGTTCATCGTTGCAGAAAAAAGAAAAGTCCAGAAAACCACAAATGACACCTGTACATACACAGAGCAGCGTTTCTTTCAGGCAGTGGTGAACAAACATTGCATAGACAACATGACTCAGTCACCACGTTACAGTAAACTGTTGATAAATGAGCTTCACATCATTGTTTGAGGCAACCACTGACACTTCCAGAGACATTCAGTCTGATATATTCTAGTCATAATGAGATGTTGAGCTTTTAACAATAAAATAAATCCAGTCCACGTGTTCAGAAATCACCTTGAGCTCGTCAGGCAGCATCTTCCTCAGCTTCTTCTCGCCCAGCACATGGAGGCACTGCTCCAGCATCTCCCACTTGTCTCCGACGTACGCCGTGATGGGCTGGAAGGGCTGGCTGAGGTCCAGGCCTCCCTCCTCGATGTCGCTGCCGATCCTGTCCAGCTCCGGGTCGGCCAGCTCATCCTTGGACTCCTGGTAGTGGAGACGACAAGCGTGAGGCTGATGTGGCTGCCTTTAAACGCACTGAATGTGGTCTGAAATATTAAACAGTTTAAAGTGATTAAACTAAAAATAATCTAAACCTCTGCCTGAACCAAACATCTATGAGACTGGAGACTGTACTGAAGTCAGCTGCTGAGCTTTGACTGACTTCTTGTACGTTTTAGGATAAATTTTAACAGTATTGATTAGTTTTAAGGCCCTTTGATCTCTTTAACTTCTAGTGCACATCAGTAAAGACTTTGGATCTTCAGGCAGAGGTCGTTTGTCTTTTCTACGTGTTCAACTGAAAACTAAAAAAGGGGAAAGAGTTTGAAGTCAGGGTCCTCGTCATCTCGAGGAAATCAGGTTGGCTGAGCATCTTTTAAATCTCTCCTTAAAACAAACTATAATCAGAGAGCCTTTCCAGAATTTCTTTTTAAAACCCTAACCCTAACCGTATTTTTATGTCTTTATTGATGATTTAATTTTGCTGCCTTTTTAAAATATATATATTTTTTAACTTTTTAGAAAAGTGTTAATCTAAAATTAAGATTATTATTACGACTAATTGAGCAATTAATTTATTTTGCTTATTTAAATTTAATAACTCGACCAAAACACACAGAAATGATCACTTTTAAATTTCAGTATATTAATCCAGGAAGAAAAAAGAGCAAATCCAAGGTTCTTCATATATGTATCGTATCTTTAAGTTTAGAAACTTCTGTATAAGACAAATCAATTCAACACAAGCACAATTAACTACAGCTCACAAAAATACCTTCACGTGAAATTAACACCTGTAATAAGCAGTATAAACAAAAACTAAATATTATAATCAATGTGAGGGTAAAAATGATTCCTGTTTATTGAGCTGCGTTAATTTTACATTTTGATTAAACTTGCATTTTTGCAAGTAAGAGTAAATTACCGTTACTTAATTTTAGATTTATTATAAGTTACACTTTGAATTTATTCGATTTACTGTAAAGACACTTTTACCAAGTAGTAGAGCAAACGTGTAATTGTGACTTTGGAGACAAGAAATGCACAAACACACAAACTTCAGCACCTATCTGTAGTTCACAGCTAACAAGACACCAAACTCGTGGTGCTGAACAACGTGTAAATATCTTACTGTGATTATTTGGACAGATATTGAGACATCTGTGATGTCTTTTCCACTGAAACAAATGCATATATTATGTGTGATTTTTTTTCTGTAGTCCCTTACAATATGTTGTCTTACATCTGCTGAATATCAATCAAAGGCTGGGAAATCTATGTAGCACCAAACCAGATTAATGTGCATCGGTGTGTTGTTTTGCATTTTAACTTAATCAAAGAACTGATTTTTGCTATTTTGCTATATTGTGATTTCAATATTATTTTGATTAACTGGTCCATTTGTTTTCTGTCTGACTGCAGCAGAGTCATGATCATTATTAGAACAATGGCACTATAAAGCTCTAACATTAAATTGGGTTGTTGTTGTGATTCAATGTGGAAAAAAAATATATAAAAACTGCTTCAGTGGAACAAATATTTTTGCATTTTCACAGCAGAAACAAACCACAGGTGGGATTAATATCACTAATGATTAACCAGTAAAGCACCACAATGGAGCAGCATGTACAGCTGTATTCATCTACTAAATGGGACGCAGCCTTCATTAACACACCTGCAGGTTTCTCTGCTTTGACAAATTCATAATATCTGCTGTTATAAAGCTCTATGTTAACTGAATATTGTATCAGAAGCACAAATTAGCATAAACAACACATTTTGGTGAAATTGTTTGACTTAAAACATATTTTAAATCCAACTCACAGTCCCTCTGAAGGCTCATTTATGATCAGAGCGTTAATAAAGTCACATTAAACTATTTAAAGCTGATTGTTTTGATGAAGAACTCGCTCCTCATTAGCCGCTGCTAGCCTGCTTAGCTCACCTCCAAGCCGGACTCGGCGCTCCTACGTTTGCTGCCGTCGTGTCGCTCTTCAGACTGCGAGTGTTTCCGCTTCTTTTCGGCGCTGCTTGATTTCCTTTTGAGCATTTTACAGCCAAATAAAGCTGCTTTCCTCCGGAAAAATGCCCTAATTGTGGTGAGCTCGTCTGCTAAAGTGTAGCGTCGCGGCGAGAAACGTCATCAGCAGGGGACTCTACCTTCTTCTTCGTGTGTTTATTGTTGTTGTTGTTGCCGCCACCTGCTGGACTGGGGCGAACTCCTCCAATAAATATAGTATAAAACAGACGTGAATAATATAATATTCAACATGATTTAAATATCAAATGATTAAAAATTAACAACCTCTCAAGAATTGGATTGTTTTCTCTCATAAAAAATCAAAAACTAATATTTTAGGAAGATTATATTGAAAAAAAACAGGCCCCAAAGTAGAAACTCAATGCACAAAAGTGAATACACCTGTGATGACTTGTGATCATTCAAACACATTTTAATACCCTCTTGGCTTCCAATCAACCCAAATAAATAAAATTCCTAGTTTTGGACTTTGCGTATCTGCATCATCAAGGCTCCACAAGGAAAAGAATTTCCAGAGCAACTGAAAAATCCCAAAGATGGAAAGCAATACAGGAAGATTGGTGACCAACTGAAAATCAGTTGACACACAGTTGAAGGCGTAATCAGGAGGTACAGAAGGTGAGGCGTAGTCGTACCATGAATCAGAACTGCAGCAGTTGTTGTGACAAAGACGGTGCAGTACGTGATAATCCAGCTCTGAAGAGGAGATTAGGAGCTGTTTTTTTCGTGGAAATCTGAGTTTCTTTTACAGCTCAGACAGTGTGAAGGACATTACACAACATCGACGTGTATCCTAGAAAAAAAATGAACTTCTGGTGCAGAATTCCAAGATTAAACTTAAGCTAAAGGACGTGAAAGAGACACTGATGAATGCTAGGAGGACATTCGTTGGACAGATGAGCTCGAGATAAAGAGGCTCAGATGAAGTCCTCCATGCTGGTTGCGAGTCTGATCAGGACGACCACAGTGAATGCATCATCCTGACAGTGAAGCACGGAGGTGGCAGGATCATGATATGGGGCTGCATGACGGCAAAAGGTGTAGCAGAGATTAGATTTATAGATGAATGTCTTTCGATAAATGAAACTACTCTTTTAATCTAAATTTTTGTAAGTTATACGCTGGTTTCTAAAGAGGAAAAAAGTGAAAACTATCATGTGGCCAAGTATGAGTCCAATAAAACAACTTTAGGGTGTTTTAAAGAGAAAGTTTGAGCAACATAAGCCCTCCAATGAAGATGACTGAGTCTGTTGCTAAAAACAAAGGTGTATAAACAGTATACAGTATTGAAAAAATATATATATATACATAATAGAGTTGAATCTCATTAATGTAATGTGTACAGACTTTTGCTGCATTGACTTCTCTCTGTGAGGCCTGTTTTACTAATTTAGTTAATCTGAACTGTTCGTTTATTAAGCTGACATATGAGCAAACACCTTCTAAGTCACTAAATCATTGTGAGGTCTGCTGTGTTGTAGTCGATGTAGTTGTTATTGTATTGTAATGCTGATCGTATATTGATATTCCAGTGGCTCTGTGTTGGACTCCCGTTGAAGGCTGCGTTTCTCATCCACTTGTGCAACATGAACTAATGTGATCAACATTTTGTTTCCTTGTTTCCTTCCACAGGTTTTGCAGCGTTAACGTCTCTCCGACTTGATGGCTGTAAAATTACATTTTACTGCGCTGCACTTTTAATGCAGGTTTTAACACACGTCCAAAGCAATAAACTGGACGTAAAATTAGTTTTCTGCTGCAGGAGCTGATGCAAAACAAACTCTCGTCCACTCTGACTGCTGAATTATGAAATGAGCGCTGTAGCAGGAGATTATGAACAAATTATGGCTGTAATTAGTGTATTCTGTAAGTTCTAACAAACAAGCCACAGCTCCCAGCCACAGCAGCAGAGCCTGGCAGGCTGATGTTACATCATAGTCTGTGCATATACGGCTGCACAACCGCTAAACCTTTCTCTCACAGTGGGAGGTGCCTTTCCTGTGACCTCCCGAGCTGCTGATGGAAGTGCAAATACACTCGAACTGTATCCTATCATCACTTTACACTTCAAAGCTCGCTCAGATTACCAGCGACAGTCAATCACCGGTCCTCGTCCTGTATTCCACACAGTCTTGCCATCTCCCGGCTTCCATCTGCCTCACCATTTCATCAAATGTTACGCATCGGATTCATTACCCAGGAAAAAAAACCAAAAAAACCTTCAAACCTGCCGCCGCCGCTCATTTACATCATTCAGGCTGTCACATTTTGAAACAGACGCCACTACTCTGCTGCTCGTCGGTAACGTGGCGGGGTCTGATTCAAAGGAACTTACAAAGAGGCGGCATAATTATGCCACACGAGTCATCCATATGTGTAGGATTTAAAAAGGCCACACTGACTACGATGCAAAACAAAGAGACATATATGAAAATGCAATGTCCACCGCTGCATGAATTATGCATGGACGATATGAATATGCAAATGATTACTTACACGTGAAGCGATTGTTCACAAAATCAAGTCCTGACGTAAATATAAAACTAGAAAACACAAGTTTACATCCTCTTGTTAGGACCTTTTACATCAGGGCAGTCTTGGGTTTCCAATGGCTGCTTCTTTAATCGGTTTATTAGAGGTTTTCTGGAAGTGTGACAAAATCTGCTGATCATAAATGAACAAACAGCACTTCTGGTTTCCATCTACAAGCTTCTGGTTCATCTTTGACTCCTCTGGACGGAATCACTGCAGTTCAACTAAACTTGTTGTCTTGGTTCCAGTCAGGACTTTGGGGAGACCAGTCTAGAACCTTCATTCCAGCCTGATGGAACCATTTCTTCACCACTTTGATGTGTGTTTGGACTCATTGTCTGGTTGGAACATCCAACTGTGTCCAAGATCAACCTTCTGCTGATGGTTTTTGGGAGGTGATCCATTTACAGCCCCAGAGCATGATGCTGCCACCTCTGTGCTTGATGGTAGGTTTGGTGTTCTTGAGGTCAAAGGCCTCACCTCTCCTCCAAACGACCACAGAACATTCCTCCAGAAGGCCTTTTCTTATCTCCTGGATGTTTGATTCTAAACTGTTCCTCCATGGCGGTGGAAGCAAATGTTGCCATTTCCAAAAGCCTATAATTAAAATTGTCCTTTCTGCTGGAGGCATTCAGTCATTTGGATACGCTGGAAACAATTCTGTCCTGTCCTCACCAAATTTCATGGCTGTGGGAGTCATATTTATGGAGATATTGAACCTAAAATGGGGCCTAATATAGAGCATGATGCTGCCACCTCCATGCTTGATGGTAGGTTTGGTGTTCTTGGGGTTAAAGGCCTCACCTTCTCTCCTCCAAACATGCTTCTGCTCAGTGTTTGTTCCATCTGACCTCAGAACTTTCCTCCAGAAGGCTTTTTCTTTGTCCACGTGATCAGCAGCAGACTTCAGTGGAGCTTTAGTGGAGTCTTGGTTGACTCTTGACCATCCTGACCAATCGTCTCTCAGCAGAAGGTGACAGTTTGTGAACTTTATACTAACAAATAGATGATTTTTGGATCTGAAGTTGCTTTGAAATGACCCCAAGACACTTTCCTGACTTGTTATGGTCAACAATTTGTTGGTTCAGATCTTTGCTGAGCTCCTCAGACTTCCCCACTGTAGTGTTTGAGTCTAATAAATGGATCAAATGGGTTCTATTTAAATCGGCTCAGAGGAATCAGCAGCTGTAGTCAAGTTAAGAGGCCATGAAACTGAGAAACTTTGATGAACACAACTTCCTACATCACCAAAACTGATCATTAAAGTTGCTGTATGTATATCTTTGTCGTAACTCCAGACGACCTATAAATCCATCAATAGATTCAAAATGCATGATTGTTTTTTTTGTGACGGGCTTAAAATTTACAATTAGC